GAGGAAGTCTCGGACGAAACGCTCGTTTTGGAGACTTGGCGCTTCACTTTTGGAGGAAGTCTTGGACGAAACGCTCGTTTTGGAGACTTGGCGCTTCACTTGTGGAGCTGGACTCAGACCAGTTTGGGCAAATGTAGTGCGGGAAACAGCGTTGCGGAGTCCAGGGACTCTCAGAAGTGTTTGCTTCTAATGTGACATGATTGCTTCTAGTGTGTGGGCAGACCGTGTGGCGAATTGCGTTCGCGACGTCGCACTGTCATGCGGATTTGCGCGGTCTTGGTGGGAAGTACGTTTGCGCGGCGCCGTGCCATTAAAAAGCAAAAGATGCTGGCGTAAACGCGGCGTGTCGCTGGTGACCGGGATGATTGGCAGTATCACGTGATAGGATTGCTTCTAGCATGTGGGCAGACCGTGTGGCGAATTACGCCCATGATGTCGCAGTGCCACGCGGATTTGCGCGGCCTTGGTGGAAAGTGCGTTTGCGCGGCGCCGTGCCACTGGGGAGAGCGAAACATGCTGCCGTAAACGTAGCGTGTCGCTGGTGAGCGGGCTGATTGGCGGTATCATATGATAGGATTGCTTCTAGTGCGCGGGCAGACCGTGTGGCGAAATTACGTCCGCGATGTCGCGGTGCCATGCGGATTTGCGCGGCCTTGGTGGGAAGTACTTTTGCGGATCTGCGTTTTCTCACTCATTTCACTTGCAAGATCTTCTCTCTTCTCATATCTTCTCACATCTTGTTGCGTCTTGTTCAACACCTTTATATCAAAAATTCAAGCTACATCTGCTCACCTCCTCTACGCCACTTTTTTCCTGTCATCACATCTTCTCACAGATCTCACTTCATATCTACTTTCTCTTCTCCTTTCTTCTCACCACTTCTACATCCTAAATCATCAGAAACTAACGTTCACGTTCTACATCTACAAACTTAACATCTACATCTTTTCTTTTTCTCGCTCTCGGGCCACCCGTCGTCTAGTTTTTTGTAACTTGCGTCGTCAACATGTAAAAATTTGCTTGCTTGGCGCTGCGTTTCTTGTAGCGTGTTCATGCATGAGTCAGGCGTTGGCCCCATCTACATACATTCATTGCCTCGTTGTACAAGACCACGAAGCACTTAAAGAATGTTTGCCGATGGCCAAGGGCCCACGCGCCATTTTGGCATCCGAAAAGCACACTCACCAAAAACAATCAAGTGCCTGAAGAAAACAAGATGGAACCCACGAACCCGAATACAAACACGTACTCGAAAACAAACACCCAAACTCTCGTCGGACACATTCTTTTCGGAAACCTTTGCGGGAGACTCTTGTGCACACACTCACTCTTGTGGGGCACTCTTGGAGAACACGCTTGTGGGACACACTTGTGGGACACTCTGGTAGGACTCTCTTGTGGGACATTCTCGTAGGACACTTTTGCGGGGCAATCTTGTGGGACACTCTGTTTGTCACTCTTGTCGAACACTCTTGTATGTCACCCACTCTTGCGGGGCACTTGCGGAACACTCTTTGTAGGACACTCTTCTCCGACACTCTCGTGGGACACTCTTGTAGATCTTGTAGGACACTCTTGCGGAACTCTTGTAGGACACTCTTGTGGGACACTCTTGTAGGACACTCTTGTTGGACGCTCTTGAAGGACACTCTCGTAGGAGACTGCTGCGGGGCACTCTTGTAGGACACTCTTGTATGACACTCACTCTTGCGGGACATTCTTGTGGAACACTCTTGTGGGACACTCTGGTAGGACACTGTTGCGAAACAGTCTTGGAGGACATTGGACATTCTTGCGGGACACTCTTGTATGTCACTCTTGTGGCACACTCTCGTAGGACACTCTTGTTGGACTCTCTTGTGGGACACTCTCTATTATGACACTCTTGCGGGATGCTCTTGTGGAACACTCTTGCGGGACATCCTTGCAGCAGGACACTCTATGTGGGACACACACTCTTCTGGGGCATTTTGTAGGACACTCTCGTGGGACACTCTTGTAGGACACTCTTGTCCGACACTCTTGTTGGACACTCTTGCGGCGCGCACTCTGGGAAACTCTTGTCGGGCACTCTTTGAAACACTCTTGTAGGACTCTGTAGGACACTCTTGTGGGACGCTCCTAAAGTCTCCAAAAGTCAACCGTCACGTCTTCAGAACGAGCGCTTCGCGCGAGACGTCCTCCAAAAGTCACAGATTTCGTGGCAGGGGCAGCATTTTCTAAACTCTCAAGTGCAGATTTCGTGGCAGGGGCAGCACTTTGTGAGCCCTCAAGTGCAGATTTCGTGGCAGGGGCAGCACTTTGTGAACTCTCAA